GAAATCTGTATGTATATGTGTATATTATATATATTATACTGTTATATAAACTTTTGCTTTTTTTCATTTTCAACTAAAACAAGTTGTGAAGTCCCGTCAGCAGCAGCACTTTCCAGTTAATTTATTTTTATGCTGGCACAACACCAGCTCAGTGTTGTGAATCTCAATTAGCATTCATGTGTTCAGCGCAAGTGAGTGGAGGAGCTGTGTGCCTGCCTGTCTGCAGTGGTGCTGTATGAAGTTGTGTCAACTGGAGGAGCCAAGACGGCACTGTTGGTATTGGTATTGGTATTGATACTGTTGCAAATGATTACTAATCCGATACTAATTTTAGTATCCTTAGTATCTGAGTATCGATTATTTGACAGCCCTACTATATAGTCCATATTGTGACACTCAGTTTAAAACATTCATGCCCTGCAAAATTTGGGCTGATTTCTTCACAGTATTTTAATTTTTTGAATTCCTGTTTTCGTGGGTTTTATGAGCTGGAAGCCCAAATTATGTAAAAATAAACAAATAAATACCTGAAATCGTTTAAATTGTGGGCCCTGAATCTATAATCTATGAAAGTTTAACTTTTTGAATGGAATTATGGAAATTAAACAACTTTTCCATGATATTCTAATTTTTTGGAAAGGGTCTGTATGTATATGTATATATATATATATACTGTATATAAACTTTTGCTTTTTTTCATTTTCAACTAAAACAGGTTGTGAAGGCCCTTCAGCAGCAGCACTTGCCATGTTAATTTATTTTTATGCTGGCAACACCAGCTCAGTGTTGTGAATCTCAATTAGCATTCATGTGTTCAGCTGCAAGTGAGTGGAGGGGCTGTGTGCCTGCCTGTCTGCAGTGGTGCTGTATGAAGTTGTGTCAACTGGAGGAGGCCAAGACGGCACTGTTGGTATTGGTATTGGTATTGATACTGTTGCAAATGAGTATCTAATCCGATACTAATTTTTAGTATCCATTAGTATCTGAGTATCGATTATTTTGACAGCCCTACTATATAGTCCATATCAGACCAGATGCACAAGTTAAGTCTGAACTTCTACCATGTATGTAACTAGTGTTTAGTATGGTGTTTGAGTATATTGTTGATTGAGCTGATTGTCCTCTTCTTCCCCCCTGTCACCCCCCTTATAGCGAAGCCTTGGACAGTCTGAAGACAGTGATCAACAAGTCTAAAGGTCTGAAGGTCTCTGCTGTTCGCCCACTAGTTTTAGCAGCAGAGGAGAATCTCCACAACATGGTGGTGGACTTGGATAAAGTGGTCACTAAGGTGAGGACATCATTCTGTTCTTGACTGGGACCACTCCACAACCAGTTGAGACTCCAGGAAGTTACAGGCTGTAGCCAAGAAAAAAGTAAAGATGACATTTGTTGTAACAAGTGTCTACAGCTGTGGTACTGTTAGCATAACATGGCTAGTATTGATTGGCAGTTTCATTAGTTCTGCAGGTATTTCAGGAAAATGTTGACCTAATGATGATGCTAGACGAAAAGTCCGGAGATCTCTACGGTGACTGGAGTCTGGGGTTGAGACGTACCAGCATTGACTGATGTCCGTCCTTGGAGCCACGCCGCCTGCACATCTGAAAATAAAGGATTAGACATTCCCTGTATCTGATTTAGATTTAACAGCAAGAATAAATTTGAACAGAAATGTTGGTTTCCTGAACTCAGTGATCCTCAGACTCATGGTCTCTGAAATTAGTGACCAACAAGACAACTGCAACTGTTTCACATTGCATGTCAAAATGTGTGTTTGTGTGTGTAGGTGCAGTCTGCAGAGTCAGAAGCTAAGATTGTCTCCCAGTACAGTGAACTGGTAAATGAAGCCAAACAACAGTTCCAGAGGGAAGTGAGCAGCCTAACTCCAGAGATCCAGGCCAACTGGAAGGGCCTCAGTAAGAACACACACACACACACACACACACACACACACACAGAGGAAGAACCATCCCGAATAGATGTATTATCATGTCTATATTGAATTCATGGTGGAATGTGTTCTGAACAGTCCAGGTACAGAGGAGACATGTTTGCAATAGAACCTTGTGTGTGTGTGTGTGTGTGTGTGTGTGTCTGTGTCTGTGTGCATCAGCTGGTAAACTGTCGGCAGACGACCTGAACGCCCTGATCGCTCACGCTCACCGCCGCATCGACCAGCTGAATCGAGAGCTGGCTGAGCAGAGAGTCAGGGAGCAGATCCACATCGATGCAGCTCTGGAGCAGCAGAAGCTGGAGGACCAGAGAGCCCAGGAGAAAGCTGTTGACACAGCCCTACAGCACATCAAGGAGGAGGCCCGGTTGGAGCAGGAGAGGAAGGTACGGAGGGAACATAGGCTGGTACCGGGTGTCACATGTTAGCAGATGTGTAGAGGTGCAACCAGTCTCCAGTTTATCACTGTAATACAAGCAATGGAACTTGAAAGCAACAATAAGTAATAACTAGAAAATTCCTGGAGAAATTTTGAGTGTGCCTGCTGCTTGGTGCGTGTACTTCACTCCTCACGTTTCAATCTATACAAAGGATGTTACTTTCAGTTTCATCATGAAACGTAGAGACTTATCCTGACAATGACCTCAGTCACTGCAGGTGTCCCTCAAAAAGCCTTTTGAGGCTGTCGCAACTGGCCAAAATAACCGCACACTGATGATTTCAAACCCAAATTTGTCCCCACAACCATAGCAAGACATACATGCACACATGTACATGCCCTAACAGAAGTTGATCTGCAATAAAGCTATACCACTATATCCCCATATAGACGATAGCTTCTAAGATCAAACTTTTATTACCTACCTTACCTCTTACCTTTTTGAGACTTTTATTTTGAATGTGTCTGTGCTTCTGTGTTTGGCAGTATAAATTGCGTAAGGTTTTGTACAACAGAGCCATTAATTCCCTCTTACCATGTTGAGACTTTTATTTTGAAGGTTAATCCAATTCGTTGAGATGCTGTTTGTGTGTTTCTGTCAGTGTGTTCTGAGTAGTACCTGCTGATACACTGTTTGCCACTGGCGAATGTGGCCACCAGGGAGAGGAGGGAAACACATACACACAATCCCCTCTGTCTCCCTAGACAGACAACAGCTTTTAGGATGAAACTTGTGTTCGAAAATGGGATATCGGAGGGAAAGCTACAAGTCCTATTGAAAAGATCACCTCACCACAATGCTAAAATGGTTTAAAAAGCAGCTCATAATAACTTAAGTACAGTGCTTTGAAAAATTTCATGCCAAAAGGGTGATTTTTTTCATAATAATGAATATCCAAAGATGGAGATGGATTGTGTGTCTGTCAATATATGTGTATACATATATGTGTACAAAAATGGGTTCTTAAGAAATTTGTCTTGATAATCATAGAAATACATGAAGACACACATACACAGTGTTGACTTGCCTTATAGATGCTCTCATACTTTAGTAATAACGGTAACAGATAATGAGTCTAATTAGCCAATAAGAATCAACTTTGTCCATTTCTCCCCAGATACTGCATAAGTTGTATGTGTGTTTGTAAACATCACAGAGATCAAACAGGGTCTTAACAGGATGGTTCAAACACCTGTGTCTAGCTGAAAGACACAGAGCTGACACAGAGCTGAGTGTGATTTTAGCTTGGCAAGCCTGTCAAACGACTGCTATTTGTGAAAAAATGGTAACTCCTATCAGAACCATGAGCAGACCATGACCAGCACAAGACCTTCGTGAACTGCATATCTGGCTTTGGTGTTTCTAGAGCCAAAAATGTGGACACAGGAGCGAGTTACAAAAAAAATATCACTTCTGCATTTCACGGGAAATTAGCTCCTGAACTTGTATTGCAGTCGATGGGAGAGGTGGAGGGTACTCCCATCACTTTGAGGCTCAAGTTCAAATTCTTTAAGGTAGACACATTCTATGAAACAAGACAATTTTTTCTACAACTGAGGAAGCCATGATGTGTGAAGATATGTGGCCGTGAGGACGAGTTAAACAGAATTTTTTTCTGAGGCGTTCTAGAGCTTCTCCCACTCTAGCGATGATGTCATCCACTAGCCTCAAACATTCCATGCAATACACACCCATTATAAACTCAAAAAAAGTATAAAACTAAAGCTGTGATAAATCAAAAACTGTTGAAGATATCAAAAAGTCGAATACAAGGTAAACTGCTGAAAGGGTTGTTTAGAGTTTAAAGGTTGAATGAAGTCTGTAGCTGAAAGTATGCTGAAGTAGTTAAAATTCAAAGAGGCTGAAGTTTTCAAGGATTTGAACATGGTCTCCATTCATTTGAATGGCAAAAGAAAGCAAAAAGCTTAATATTTCAAAAAATTATAAATAATATTAAAAGTTGAATACGTCTTATAATCTACAGAAAAAGCCGAATGTTTTGATAGTTGAACGGTTTTTGTAGTACAAAGTATGAAGAACTAGTTAGAGACCGTAGAAAGGTGGAAGAATTAAGAATAACAAAAAAATTCCTGGAGAAATTTTGAATGTGCCTGCTGCTTGATGCGTTTACTTCAATCTGTACAAAGGATGTTACTTTCAGTTTCATTCATGTAGCAGAGACTTATCCTGACACTGACCTGGCCAAAATGACAATAATGGTTTTTAACCAAAATTGTCCTCACAATTATAGAAAGACATGTACACACGCAAAGAAACATACATCAACACAAACACACAAGTACACACAAATGCACTGTGTTGCTTTACCTTAGAGTTGCTCTCATACCTGAGTTAAAAGGCTAAGAATTAATGAGTTTAATTAGCCAATCTGAATCAGCTTTGTCCATTTTTGCCCAATAACACCTGCTCCTGAATTTGTATTGCAGTCAGTGGGAGAGGTGGAGGGTACTCCCATCACTTCCTCAAAAACCATAGATATTAGAATGAGACCAAAACTGGGTGGTACAGAAATTTTCAGGGATGGCAGTTCGAGTTCGCAGTTCGCATATATGCATGTTCACAGTAATCGTACATGGGACTGTTGTGCTTTCTCCCAACTCTCGCAGACATCACAGAGCGAGTGGTGGTGCTTGTTTGTACGATGGCACCAACAGCTGGAGTGAAATTGGCACAGCTAAAAAATAAAACATCACATCCACCCAATTTTTTCCCTAAACCTTCATTTTTATTTCAATGAACAAAATTGTTTTTTCACATACATCTAGTTTGTGTTACTTTGCTAGTTTTCATTAATGATAGTAATGTGTGTGTGTGTGCGTGTGTGTGTACGTGTGTGTGTGCATTTGTGTACACGCGTGCAGCTGTCTGAGTTAAGGGATGTGATGGAGGCAGAGATGAGAACTCAGCTTCGGCGTCAGGCGGCTGCTCACACAGACCATGTCCAAGATGTCCTCAAAGTCCAGGAGCAGGAGCTAAGAGCTGAGGCTGAGCAGGTCGCCACACACTGTCCTCATTTCTACACACATCACAACACACAGATGTATTACAATCTGTTCAGTTTACTGCAAGTTAATAGTAAATGGCTTCATTTTATATCATGTCTGAGTCACCTAGACATGGGGAATAGCACCCACCTGTCTGTGTGACTGACGGCCTGTCCACCTGCAGCCGTCTCTCACTGTTCTGCTGTGTGTTGTGATCAGGTTCTGAGCAGTAAGATGCTGGAGCAGGAGACCTGCTACCGTCAGCTGAGCCAGGAACAGCTGGACAACTTCACTCTGGATATGAACACGGCCTATGCAAGACTGAAGGGGATGGAGGAGGCCATTGACAGTAAGATACACACTTACACACACATTGTCTGTCATCTGGTGACATCATGCTTTGTCCCTGCAGTTTATATACTGTGTTGTGGTTTAATCACCGACTAAGGAGCTTCTTCTTTCTCTGATCTCTAATCAGATTTAGGTTTATTTGTAGTGGTGTTTTCATGTCTGTGTTCAGGTCTGATTGAATCATGACTCAGATTTTGTCTTGTGTGAGTTTCAGATGTTTTTGGATATTGATATTTGACGACCTGTTAAATGATCTTATTGATAAGATTTGTTTTGGAGATCAGTTTGAGTGTTTTGATACAATATGTGAATAAATGTAACCAGTGATAAAGGACATGAGGAGCTCTAAGAGTAGAAAAGGTCAGAGACCACTGGGTTAGAGGAATACAAGGGAAAAATCCTGGTCTACATAATCTGGATAAATGTTTGCACAACAAAGTAATACACAGCTTAAGCAGTGTTCAGTGGTGGGGCGAGTCATTTTGATCTGTTGAAAGTCTGTAAAGGTCTGGACCCCCTGATATGAACCCCTCCCTGTCTTTTAAATGCAGGCCATGTGGTGGCAGAGGAGGAGGCCCGTAAGGCTCACCATCTGTGGCTCTCTGTCGAGGCTCTCAACTACACCTTGAAGACCGCAGATGCCGAGTCGCCCACCGTGCCTCTAGAGGGCGCTGCTCAGGTTGTGCGAGACAGCTGCCACAACAGTGACTTTGCCTTGGCTCTGGCATCAGCTCTTCCAGAAGAATCCCTCCAGCGTGGCGTGTACAGCGAGGCCTCCCTCCGTGCCCGCTTCAACTCCCTTCGATTGCTGGCTCGCCGTGTTGCCCTCATCGATGAGTCTCATAACTCCTTGTACCAGTACTTCCTGTCCTACCTTCAAGCTGCTCTCCTTTTTGAGGCTCAGCAGGAAGCCCCGCCAACCCAGCTGAGCAGTGAGGACTTAGACCCCTTCAAGCTTCTGTCATACGCTAGTTACTGCTTAGAGCACGGGGATCTGGAACTAGCAGCTAAACTGGTGAACCAGCTGAGAGGAGAGGCTAGGAGAGTGGTGGAGGACTGGCTGAATGAAGCCAGACTCACACTAGAGACCAGGCAGGTCATCAGTTTGTTGTCTGCTTATGCAAATGCTGTGGGGTTAGGAACCACCCAGGCTCCATAGGCTGCTCTCATTTAACCTGGCAACCCTTAAAGGAGCAGCCTGCCAGTTGAGGATCAGGTAGTAGCCGCAGGCTTGAAAGGTGGTGGGGTCAAGGACAGCAGCTGCAATGTTAGGTACTCAGATTGTGTGTCCCTTTAAGGTGACTGAAGATACCGCAGAAGTTTATTTCTTTTACCGCACTAAGTCACTGTGGATGATTATTTGTACAATAATTGATGCACCCTCTCAATCTAGTCTCGTCATTCAGGCCCAAAGGTTTGGTCCAGGTATTTATTTCTGGATAATTTCTTATTTTTTTGTGTTATGGAAAAAAAAAGTCCTAACATTGATTTTTAAAATGTGTCATGCTGCATTTTATTTTTGTTAGTTCTGCATGTTATAATAAATCATGAACAATTATTCTGTTAAATTCTCATTCTTCCCTCACAGTTGTGCTATTGTTATATTTAATGGTTGATCAGTTTGAGTTAGTGACAGAACATCAGTAATGAGTCTCCAGTATCACTGCAACAATGTCACTTCTGTAAATACTGATACCACAGAATAAATGTTGAATATTTAAAGGAGCTATATGTATGTTTTTTTTTCTATTGCTACATAGCTAAGGTTAGCATTAACAGCCGTTTACTCACCGTGTGTGTGTGTGTGTGAGTGAGAGAGAGAGTGTGTGTGAGTGAGAGAGAAAAATACAATACATCCTCTGATCAGCTACGTCTTCTACGTCGGGACAGACTGAAGGCTACAGTGAGGAGACGGGTCGGGGCTAGCTCGTTACCATGCTAACTTCAGTAGATGAAAAGACATGATAGAAACGAGGTCTTTCCACTTCTGGAGACAGCTGTTGGTGAGCAAAGGAATGAGGTTTTATGCTGAACTCACAACATTTGTTCTAGACTGGTAAGTAAACAGCTGCTAGGGGTCTCTCACTCAACAACAGACAGTGTTGGGTGACATTGTGAAATACGGGGATCACGGGAGTTGTCTTCACCACCATTACCGTAAATTGGTTTGTTGGATTCCTAGTGTCATAGGTTCAGGAACTCAAACAGACCTGGTGATTATAACCATTAAAAACACTGAATAAAGCATTTTCGCATTTACCTACGCTGTATGAACAACAGACAGCAGGGAAGAGATGGGAGCTGAGATTGCTGCCAACCTTTGTTTACTTATGAACCAGGGCCTGTATTCACAAAGCATCTTAAGGCTAAAAGTAGCTCGTAACTTGCCAATTTAGAAGAAACTAAAACTAATGGGCATGTCAGTCCTAACTTTAGGACTCCTATTTTCTTTTTTTCACTAAGCTATTCATAAAGCCACTGCAAGCTAAAAGTAGCTCCTAAGTCTGGGAGAAGTTAGAAGTAGTCGAGAGGACTCCTAACTCACTAAGACCAAATCACAAAGAATCGTAAAAGGGCTGCTGTCATTTCACGTCGCAGTGTTTTGGAAACCTTACTGATGCTGAATTACTTAAATGATACTGACTCAATCATGAGGGAATAATGATCGTTGTGGCGTTTGTGGGGGCTTAAATCACATCTCCTTCCAACTGAAACCCAATCAGTGCAGAAATTAAGTGTCTGCCAACGCTGCGTTACTTGGTGTGGCCGGGCTGTGGCAAGGCCCGGATTTAACTGAAAATTTAGGTACCTCTGACCCCGTTTAATACCTCAGTAAAATCAGTTGGTTGACAGATACCTTAAAAGATACAGATGGCAAAAGATGGATTGAGACAAGGATTTCCCCCAAGATTACAAATTTATTCAAAGGTATAAAGTCAATATATAAAATCAACAATTTATTAAAGTTGATAAAAAACTATAGAAAAAAAAAAAGTGTCTCAAGTTCTAATTTGTCCCATATATAATAACAGGAACACAAAAAAAAAAAAAAAAAAAAAAAAAAAAGAAGCTGTAGGATTATCCGCACCTACAGCACTCATACGGAGACAAAAAAAGAACAGGTATTAGAACTCAAATTCTTGGGGAAAAACAAAACCAATACCAGAGCCAACAGTGTGCAAACAATGAAACAACTAAACAGACAGTTAACCAAAACACAATAACTACACCAACAAAACAAACAGAGCAGACACAGCACACCACAGCCTCACCAGGCAGCAAAGAGAGAGAGAGAGCAGCAGCATCGAGGTAAAACAATCCCCAAACAATTAAAACCAGGAAGTGGGTGTGACTAAACCCCATTGTGGCCTGGAAGGGATCTCCCACTACCTGCTACATTGGCAGCAGAGAAAAGCTGATATATCCACCAATGAATGCGCTCTGACCCAACATCATAGGACAATTAATATGATTTCTTTTATTCAACAGCTACAAAGAAATAAAGCAGCTTCATGGCAATAGCCGGTCGACCTGATGTAATCGGTGCCAGAGATGGAAGCATGTAAAAAATTATTGCACCATCGCACCATTGGAGGTATTTGTAAACAGGAAAACAAAATCACACCATCAACACACACGTTGTATTGGATGCTGCCTGTACAGTTGTAGACATTGTTGTACAGTGTCCAGGATTTACAAACAATTAATAGATCTTAATGGAGAGTGGCCTCAGGCAGCTGTTTGTCACCTGGATGTCACCTGGTGGAGGACAGTGGAAATCATCACACACCTTAACCCACAGCTATGACCACAGCTACTCCACAACAGGTACAGCTACGACGGACTATTGCTGTGTGTAATAGCCTGCCAGTTAGGTGGTCTAAGACAGGTTCGTGTTTTTTTTCCATTGAGAGAATTTAATATAAGTTTTTATAGTAAAATTAAATTCTCCCGGGTCCAAACAAACCTTATACAGATGCATTTTGAAGAATGCACTACTACTACTAAACTGCCTAATCCGTTATTATTTAAATTGTATTCGTTTGTGTCTCAGTTTTTTTGTTGTTGTTTTTTTTTTAATTATTGTTACTGCCGGATGTGCGTATGGGTTTTCACAGGTGTCGTGCCAAAAAGTGACTGCCTGCTAAAAAGTGATTTCCGTCCGCGGGAGCGCGCGCAGCCTGTTAAATCTGAAAAGCGCAGTTTCTATCCCTCTACAGCTGTTTTCATCTGGATCAAACAGCCATTACGAACAAATACACTAACTCTATGTCCGAGCTAATAGTGATGTTATGTATGTGTGAGACGATAATTTCAACAGAATTTGCTGCCATAAACGTGTTTGCTGTTCATAGTGTAATCAGGCATGATATTAACGTGATTACAGTCAATAATGTTATTTTTATGTTTTTGTGTTTGTTATATCTGATATCCTTGTTAAATAGACTGTAATTAACACGATGTATGTCTGACTTGACTTTTGTATGCAATAAAGACATTTGGGACTGAAAGGGTTTTCTGCCTCAAAATGACTTCATATCACTCACCATAATTATGATTTGAAGATTATATCATAACCAGTACTTTTCACTGGTTCAAAACTGTGTAAAGGGCCAATGCAACGCACAAAATGCAGTTTTTTACTTGCCAAAAATTGATTCCAGCTCGTAATGTTGGACTGAAAGGGATTTTCTGCCTCAAAATGTCTTCATAACTCACCAGAGTTATATTTAGAAGATTATACCTTAACCAGTACTTTTCACTAGTTCAAAACTCTGTAAAGGGCCAGTGCAACACATACAATGCAGTTTTTTACTTGCCAAAAATGTATTCCAGCTCCTAATGTTGGACTGAAAGGGGTTTTCTGCCAAAAAATTACTTCATATCACTCACCAGAGTTATAATTTGAAGATTATACCATAACCAGTACTTTTCACTAGTTCAAAACTCTGTAAAGGGCCAGTGCAACACATACAATGCAATTTTTTACTTGCCAAAAATGTATTCCAGCTCCTAATGTTGGACTGAAAGGGGTTTCCTCCCTTAAAATGTCTTCATGTAACTCACCAGAGTTATATTTAGAAGATTATACCATAACCAGTACTTTTCACTAGTTCAAAACTTTGTAAAGGGCCAATGCAACACATACAATGCAGTTTTTTACTTGCCAAAAATTGTTTCCAGCTCCTAATGTTGGACTGTTGGATGAAAGGACAATCTCAGTGCCTCAAGGCAAAGGTCTTATGTGGACAAAAGGAGGCAAACAAAGTTTTTGTGGACTTCCATGCCAGCAGTGTAGGGGCACACTGTGGCCAGAAGAAAACCCGAGAGGCTATTTCACAAAGATTTTACTGGCTTGGCATGTCAGAGGACATAAATCAGTGAGTTAGTATGAGCCTATACTTTTCTATCAGATTTTTGTTAGTCTCACAAAAAAAATTGCTTTTCTTTTACAAAATTGTCTGTTAATACTATACACTCTAAACTCTTAAGTGATGATAAAATGAAAACTTGTTTTTATGACATTCTAAATCACACGGATGGGGAAAATGATAATAGTTTTGTCACGGGGAGTGGCAGGACCCAAATGCAACACAAACTCTCAGTAGAAGTAGTAACGGTCTTTATTGCACTCAAAACAGGTCAATATACACAGTTCTTGCAGCAGTGCTGATACTTAGTTAGAAAAGCAAGCGCCAAGGTGGGACTCG